TCTCTCTCTCTCTCTCTCTCTCTCTCTCTCTCTCTCTCTCTCTCTCTCTCTCTCTCTCTCTCTCTCTCTCTCTCTCTCTCTCTCTCTGTGGCTAGGCGATGTGCAATGCAGCAGGAGGAGGCCTTAAAAAAAAAAAAAACAAAAAACTATGTGGCGCATCTGACGCACCACCCCTGCGAACCGGCCGCAGGTGCGCGCGCACCAGCGCATGCCCACCTGGCATGTGCACATGGCGCATGGCGCATGCAGGTGCGCGATGCGCGCGCACCTGCCGCGCTCGCATGGCTCAGCGCATAAATGCGCGGCAAGTATGCTTTTTACCCAATTGGGCCTCACTGCACCACTCGCAAAATCTGCAAAATGTGGAATGCACTTTCCGCTAGAATGTAGAAAGATGCACTAGACATATATACATTTGTCAGTTTTCACATTTGGTTTGCATTTGCTGAGTGGTGCGGCGAGGCCCATCGTCTCCCAACCACGTGTCTGATCATTACACGGACTGTCCATGTGTAAGAAATTACTGAGAATGTTCTCAAGGTAATAGCACAGACAGACTTTCGCACAGATATAGTGAGGGCGAACTCACACTTTGGACTTGTTTACTTATTAATGTAATGGATTCAATGCGGTTATACTACGGTTATTTGCATCCAGGTTCAGATGTAAATGCAGTCACAATGTCACATACATTTAAAAAGCTAGAGCTAATGTGAGTACACCCTGAGATGCTTGTGTTGCTAGCTCTCCCCCTTGTTGATGATTCCTAATGTGCAAATGTGACAGTTGAGAGTTAAAACTCCATTTCATTTCTGTCAAAGTTAAAAATCCATTTCATTACTGTGAACGTTAAAACTCCATTGCATTACTGTGAAAGTTAAAACTTGAAACTGCATTTCATTACTGTGAAAGTTAAAATTGCATTTCATTACTGTAAAAGTTAAAACCGCATTTCATTGTTAAAACTTAAACGTTGAAACTACAATTCGGTTCTGAAAGTTGAAACTTGAAGTTGAAACTTGAAGTTGAAACTTGAAGTTGAAACTTGAAGTTGAAACCACAAACTTTTTTTGGATTCCCATGTCGAATCATTGTCGATACATTTCGTTAACTCTGCGTTTAATCAACTTTAATGCTTCATCGTTGTGGCCTTTGTCCAGGGAAAGCGGCTTGTTTTCGTAACAAACAATTCCACCAAGTCCCGAAAACAGTACGGGAAGAAGTTCTCGTCACTTGGGCTTGAAGTAGGCGAGGTAAGGATTTGTGACAACCATCCGACCGATTGCACATTTATAATACTTTATAATAGTTTATATGGTTCCTTTGTCATCCTGGAAGTTGTGCAGTGTCTTGTCGTCGAAGAATCAGAAAAAAAAGTAGATGAATGCCTTGCGTTGCCTGTGGGGAGCTCATCCGGAAGGCTGAAAGTTAGAAAGCAACTTGCTTACCGAGTGCAATCAGAATGGAACGCAGGGGCAGGGTGTACAATCCATAGGTCAACCAATTTTATTTTATTTTTTCTTCTGAACATTGTACCATAACATTTTGGCGTTCCTTCCTTGAATTTCCTTCCCTAATCTCGATTTATCTCTGCCTATCTGTCTATCCATCTCTCTACCGACCTATCTATTTGTCGCCGAAATTGTCGGTCGGTCGATCGGTGGGTCGATCATTCGGTCGGTCGAATCCATCTGATTTCGTGTAATATAATCTCTCTAATCTCTCTAATAAATAAATCTAATCATCTAATCATCAAATCATATCTCATTGTATCTCATCATATCTCATCACCTCGTCATCTTTAATCGATTAATCACCAATCACATCTACCTAATGTATATCATCGATGTCATCAATGTCATCTATATCGTGTATATCAGCTTTCTGTATGTGTTGTCTGTCTGTCTGCCAGCCGCTTAGTTGGTCCATCTGTCCATCCGTCCATCCGCCTGCCAATACACCCGTCCGCCCTCCTGACCACCCGTCTTTTGATCCATCCGTCCACCGGCCACAGTCTGTCCATCCATTCCTCTTTGCCTGTCTGTCTCTTCCTCTTTGTCGATCAATCTTTCCATCAACCTATCCATCCATCCATCCATCTATTTGTCGATCAATCTTTCCGTCGACCTGTCCATCCATCTATCTATCCATCTATCCATCTATCTGTGAATCTTTTTTTAAGTTTTTTTTTTTTTTTTTGCAATGCTGCCTGTTTGGGAGCTAGGGGCGCTGGTATGAGCAGACGCCTCTATCTCCCTCGGGGAGGCTCCATCTATTGGTGGGGAGCAACACCTGCTGGAAAACGGGTCCAGCGTCCCTTAACAAAAGCCATTGAGGTCCATTTGAAGATTTCCTCATCTTCTGCCAGCATTGATTGCCCTGAGAACAGGGGATTAACTGAGCAGGAAGATGAGTAGCCAGGGGGGGGAAGAAGGGGCCTCTTCGGCCTTGCTGCTGGGCGCCCAAAATGCATGACGACCTAGCCCCCGTCCAACCATTCAGATACAGCAAATTAAGCCTCTGCAACTTAGTAACTATGTAGACTATGCACCCCCGCCACTCACTCTGGTCCATACCACTATAGATCCACCAATAACAGACTATGGGGTGGGAAGGGGTCAGGGAACTCTGAGGTGGTCCAGTCCTTGAAGCAAACAGTATAGTCTCTTCTGAGTTTCTCATCACTCCATCAACCTGCCTTCACCTGTGTCGTCTTTGTCTGGAGTCCAATAGAGCATCAAGCTGCTTTGCCCTTGTCCTGTGTCCTTTCTCTTATTCTGCACCGTACCATTGCATGTCCACCAAAGACAGTTGATGGGGAGGGAACGGTCCGGGAATTTTGAGGGTGAGCGCAACTGCAATCCTTGGTGGGAAGGGGTCAGGGAACTCTGAGGCGGTCCAGTCCTTGAAGCAAACAGTATAGTCTCTTCTGAGTTTCTCATCACTCCATCAACCTGCCTTCACCTGTGTCGTCTTTGTCTGGAGTCCAACAGAGCATCAAGCTACTTTGCCCTTGTCCTGTGTCCTTTCTCTTATTCTGCACCGTACCATTGCATGTCCACCAGACAGTTGATGGGGAGGGAACGGGTCCGGGAATTTTGAGGGTGAGCGCAACTGCAATCCTTGGTCCACTTTAGTCCATTCCTTGAAGCAGACGCAGTAGTCCCTCCTAAAGTCTTCCTGCTCCTGCCCCAGGATTGTCCACCCTCCCATCGAATATAGGCAATCCAGCCCCCTTTTTCGTTACCCAGCCAGTCCCCTGAGAATTGATTAATTGCTTGTGTGATGTCTTTCTTTGAGTGATATGTTTGTAATTGATTCTTGACCTTCTGCCATCGTGAGAGGAGCTCTTGCTGTATATACTGTTTTATTATTTCTGTTACTTCCTCTCCATCCATGCGAACTCCCTCAATGGTGTATGTGCAGCGCTTCCGTCAAAGTGCCCAAATAATCGCTCTCCTCCCTATCTTGAACATGTTGTTTTCAAAATTGTTGTCCGTGGGAGAGGTCCATGCTTCACAGAGCAGCGCCCTCCAGTCACACGGCCAAGCCAGGAGAAGGCGTTATGATAGGATTTACACCAGGGAAGCGTCAGGCCCTTCTGTTCCATGTACGTGCGATCTATCAGCCAATTGTTTGTCGGGAGGCAATGGTGCTCTATCTGCCACTGCAGCGAGGCGAATTTAGCCGGTTTGGACCTCATGGTTGAAAACCACCGGATAGGGCGGATGGTCTCCTGTCTTAAGTTCAGGTGGGTTATCCAGCGGGCTTTCACAATCTCTTTAAGGTTCACCTTTGGCCCTAGCAGCCGGTAAGTGGCCTTCACTGACAAACCAAAGAACTTTATGTTCGGGTTAGTTGGCGTTCTTCGTGCACTCGACCAATGCCACTCCTCCGGGTCGAAGGGGAGTTCAGCGAGGGGTGTTCCGGGGAGAAATGCGGTCCATTCATCATTATGTCTCAGTGCTCGAATTTTGTGCAACTCCTCGTTCCTCCACCACCTCAATGCGTCCGGAACGTACCTGGTGAGAACATTGTCCTTTCCTTTATGGAAAAGGCTGACCAAAGATTCGTCTGCCCACACTTCCACCATGTTACCAATGCTCTCCGTGTCGTTCGGGACTGCGACCCAATCTCCTTCTGACAGCTGCGGTCCTTTTCGAAGAATACGCACCCAGTCAAGAGGGACACCAAAGATCAGTGTTTCTAAGTTCCTTTCAATATCATGGCAATACCTCATCTGGGCCCTCAACTGTGGCACCGTTTTCCAGTCTCTGCTCTATCCGTGAATCTATCTATCTGTCTATCTATCTATCTATCTATCTATCTATCTATCTATCTATCTATCTATTTCTTTTTCCCTTATGGTCCCATGTTGTTTCTATTCTGGGTTTTATCCTTCTTTTCTTTTTTTTCCCTTCCTTTTTTTGAAGTTTGGACCATATCTCGATTTATGCGTGTCAATGGTGTCATCCCTTGCGCCAAGTCACAGGTACATCAAATAGTCCACTCGCATACTTTCTTTCATTATGGCTGATGTAGTGCCCGTTGGGGTTCGGGCCCCACTAGTGTGAAGTTGTGGATATGGTGGATGTGGCTGTGTGCCCTCATGGTTTGAGGTCGTATGCTTGATGGAGCTAATGCGTGACACGTGGTTGGGTGGTGTTGTGTGTGTGTGTGTGGTGTAAGGTTAAGGACACCAAAGCCATGCAGGGGTGGGGTGTCCACACCGTGCCATGACTGAAGTGGTTAAGAAACTCAGCTCTGGAGGCTGAGGACACCGGTTCGAATCCACGCATGCACGAGGAGGTCCAAAACGGGAAATAGTACTGACTGAAGGAATCCCTGGACAGATGCTCCTTGGAGAGAAGAGAGCTCAACTCCCACATTGCCTCTTTGCCGATTTCAGACCTTATCATTCCATGCTCTCATGAATTGACCTCCCTGGGCCTTGCATACCAGCCGTAACCCCTAACTTTTTTCGCGCAGGAATATTCCCAGTACAATAGTGCTGTATGATCTTTCCCGCCTGATACTCTTTCTCATGGGACGAAGCTCACTTGTGTGATATTCCACTAAGCAGCCACGTCTCCACAAACCTTTTCTTCTCTGACTTGAGGTGATCTGTTACCCCCTCCCCTTCCCCCCTCCCCCTTCCCCCCTCCACCCTCCGCCCTCCTCCCACTTCCTTTTCCATTCTCTTTATCTTGCTCCATTTGCAGCAGATATCCGTCAGCAGCAGTCCAACTAGCTGGGATGAAGCTGCTTCCTTGTGAAATTTGAAGTTTGCACCCATATTGATAGTCCGTGAGCTTCTTCGTTTCCTAGTTGACCAGTGTAGCTTTTCTGACGGGGTGGAACCATCTTTTTGGTCTCTCCATATACCAACTGGTATCTGTCTATCTTGCTATCTATAACATCTAGTCTACCCATCTAATCTTTTTTTTTTTTTTTTTTTTTTTTTTTAAACAAAAAAACAGGACCTTATAGTCCTGGCTCCTTTCCATTCTGGGGAGCATCAGTCCGGTTCCTATTCCACCGGCAAGTCCGAATAGACATTACAAAAGAAACCACCCACGCTTCCTTCCGTCTGGCCGAAGGACCCCTGAGCAGCATTGATTGCTCCACCTTGGTGGAGGATTGACTGCCAGCTTGCCATGCCTCACTCTTTCCTCTCAGACCTGATAACCAGATCTGCCAGATAGATCCATGCCACCTAGAAAGAGCTCACCCATTGTCCGAGCTAGCCTTTGTACCCCCACTTACAATAATCCAATCCATCTAATCTAATCTAATCTAATCTAATCTAATCTAATCTAATCGAATCTAATCTAATCGAATCTAATCTAACCTATCTAACCTATCACCTATCGAAGCTACTCATCTATCTATTCTATCATCCAGCTAAACATCCATCTTATCTATCACCCATCAAATCTATCATCATCCATCTAATCTAATCTAGCTAGTCCGCTATTTGAAATGAGCCAAGTACTCGTCAAGTTCAACCTCGCATACATCAATGAACATTTGCATGAGAGTTCCCACGCGAGAAGCCAAATCGAGATACAATCAACACTTGAAGACGTTGTCTCCAATATTATTGTCAATATAGAAGAATGTTTGTCTCCAGCGGCTTTGCCGCACACACACGCACAACGGATCTCGACCAGATAGCGGCTATGGCTTCTCCCCTCTTCTCTCTCTCTCTGACTTGACTCGCTCTGCCTCACTCTCTCTCTCTCTCTCTTCTCTCTCTCTCTCTCTCTCTCTCTCTCTCTCTCTCTCTCTCTCTCTCTCTCTCTCTCTCTCTCTCTACCCTGGATACACTCACTCAGGTAGCTTACACCTTGGCAGCTATGACCGCGGTCCTCCTGCTCTATCGCTAGCCTAGCTATGGAGTATCTCACAGGCGCCCTCTTCTTCATCAGGCGCGCAGTGCCCAAGTTGCCTTAACGCACAAGCAGCAGCAGCGCTTCCGCATCTCGCAACTGAACAAGTGATGAGCCGCTGCACTGTATCAGCTAAATATAGGGTTTGGCTTTGCTTTGCTTTGCTTTGCTTGGCTTGGCTTGGCTTGGCCTGGCCTGCTTCAGACCGGTGCCGGTCGGCCGCGGCCTGTCTGCTGCAAACAATTTGTTGGTCCGGTAGCTTCCGGACTTTCCTGGGACAAGCTGCAAAATTGGACTTGGGATTGTCGGACTGGACTGGACTTCTTCTGGACCGGCGGACTCCCACCGTCCTACGACGCTTTGGTACCGACACCTATCGACCTACGACGCTCCGGCCTCTAGACCCTATGGCCTACCCTACGGGACGGCCCTGGGACTGGGACTGGGTGTCTGCAGCGTGAATCCTTTCATGTGTCTGTGTTTGTGTGTGTGCCTGCATTTCTCTCTCTCTCTCTCTCTCTCTCTCTCTCTCTGGAGACATATTGGATAACATTGAGCGGAATTTGAGCCCACTTTTCCTCCTATGAATTTCTGTCTTTTCGTTTCTTTCTCTTATATGTTTGCAGGAAGAAATATTTTCGTCGTCATTTGCAGCAGCAGCGTATCTTCAGTCCATCAAGTTTGACAAGAAGGTAAATAGAGTGCCGGGGGCATGTGGGTTATGGCGTGTCTCATGCTTTTTTTTTTTCTTTTTTTTTTTGATAAGGGGGACGGCCTTGAGATATCATCATTGAACTGACGGGCCGCAGGTAATTCAGAATTACATTTTTTCTGTTCATTCTGCTTGCGTCGGGACTTGAACATAGGTCTGTATTTCAACAGTTCATGGGTGTACCAACTGGGCTATGTCCGTTGGTACTCATGCAGTTCTTAAGACGTCCTTTATTCATTTACTATTATGGTTATTCTAACTTATCCATTCTTTTTTTTTTGGGGGGGGGCGGAAATTGTCATTTTATTTTTTGGGGGAAATTGTCCTTCTACCCTTCACTTCATTTGTGTTCTGGTTTGTACCCTCGAAACACAATCCTTATAGGTGTGTGTCATGTGACTCGTTGAACTCAGACGAAAGGTCACCCCCCCAAAGAAAAGCAAGCAGAATTTGTGATCAAATCCCTCCTCCCATCCCCTCCCCCCCCCCCTCCCCCTCCTCTCCCTCCTGGTGGACCACCCTGTTCCTCCTCTTAAACCACCGGTAGGTCTGAGCCTCTTCTTTTCCAGACACAGATTTTGGCCCAGCGTACAAATTCCAGCCGGACTGGCGAGGCGCATGATTTGCCTGCCGCCACCAGCCTTTTACGTCCGGTAGACCCGGCCCACGATATTGCGGCGTGTTAGCATTCACAACCAGTGCATCGGAACAAAATAGCTGGGAAGAGTAACTGGTGCCTCTCCCTTCAATTGCGTGCTCAGGAGTGTTTGGCGCAATTGGGAGAGTACATCTTCGCAACGGACGAAATGTGACTTGCTTGGCATTCCTAAAATAGTAAAGTTTTATCCTTTTGTGACCTTTGTCCTTCACTTCGAAGTTGCAAACGCCATTTCGCATGGCAAGCTGGCAATAAAATCCATTCAGGTGTGGAAAAGAATACCAACTATAATTAAGAAAAATATTAGAATTCATTCAGATGTGGATTCTTCTACTGAGGATGGCGGAAACAGAGATCCGATGCAAATGGAGAAGTGTGTCGGCAGCGACGAGAGGCAAACCCAAAAGACTCGCACTCAGGAGACGAGTCTTCATGAGAGACTGACTTCTATCAGGAAAGATTGCGACAGTCACACACAATAAATTAATAAATTGATTTGGAAGAAGTGGTCCCCACTCCAACAACGACAAGGAATGCAGTCCCGAGAAGGACAAATTGAGGCTTTAGTTTCTGACTGACAGACTGACCGACATGTCGCCCAGTTTCTTGTGCTTCAATACCTACTCTACAGAACCAACAGGGTTTCCGAGAGGAAAACTAGGGTAGGGTAGGGCAAGCTGACAGTCAATCCTCCACGATGCTGGAGTAATCAATGCTAGTCAGGGTTCCTTCGGCCAGACGGAAGGAAGCGTGAGCGTGTACTATGATGTATCTGCACTTTTGACTTGCCGGGGGAATAGGAACCGGACTGACGCTCCGCAGAATGGATATGGAGCCAGGGCCATAAGGCCCTGTTTTGGGTGGGGTTGGGGGGGAGGAAGAAAAGGGAAAAAAAAGAATTCATTCAGATGTGGAAAGGAAATATTAAGACCATGAATCCTCCAATCGACCATGGAGACAAGAGAGACCAGGGCCCAAGGGTTCAGCAACTTGCACTTCTCTCCTGCTTTGGTGCTTCAGTGCCATGTATGTTTGGAAATACACACTACGTTATCTCCCGATAAGACATTCTTCGACTTCATCTTTGGACGGCTTCCCAGTCGCATGCAACGTTTATGTCATTGATTTGGTTGTACCTTGCCTTCACAATTAATTTTCAACAGCTATGTGTGTGTGTGTGTGTGTGTGTGTGTGAAGATGGGTGGGTGTGTTTGTGTGTGTGTGTGTAGATGGGTGGGTGTGTTTGTCTGTGTGTGTGTGTGTGTGTGTGTGTGTGTGTGTGTGTGTGTGTGAAATTTCCTTAAACCACCAGTACCTTTCCCCGCTTGAAATCTAAGACGCGCCGGTTAATGCGGTAGCCAAGCGGGGGAGGGCCGTCGTTGATAAATTGAATCGGCGGCCTGTTTTTTTTTTTTTTTGTTTCGGGCCTCCGACAGGACCGTCACTGCCCGCGGCCGACATATGGGAAAGGTACTGGTGGTTTAAAACCGCCAGCACACTGCCCTAGCCTTGCAAGATTTCTTCATGGCCTACTGCTAAAATTCTGGAGACTTGGGGCTACCGGACCACAATGGCTGGCGTCGCCAGCCCCCGCTGGCAGTTCGGCAAAGCTTGGCGCAAAGTGCGGCGCTGCCAGGCCCGGGTGTACTGGTGGTTTAAAGCTGCTGTGTTTGTGATATTTTCATTTTTTAGCACACATGGTGATATTTTCAGCTTGAGTTGTTAATGATGCGATGCCTGTGGTTCGATCTCTACAATATGTTTGTGTTGTCTGATTGCAAAGGTGTCAGTTGAAGAAAACGGAGGGACGATAAGGTATTTTACAGTTTTTAGTAAATTTTTACTAATTTTTCTTAGAATTTTAGATTTCTGTTTTTTTTTTTACTATCTCGATGTGCAGAGTCTGCAGACCAGATGTGCAAGAGATGGCATGAGTGGGAAAGGGAGAGAGGAGGATGCCAGCATTCTCAGGAGACCAAAAAAAAAGAGACAGTGTTGGTTTAACTCTCATCAGATGAAGGCACACAAATGAAAAAAAAAAAGAAAAGATGATCTTATGACAGCAGAATGCTTGTGGTGTTGTTTTGCTTCGTAATGCAGGTGTACGTCATCGGTGAGGTTGGCATTTTGGAGGAGTTTGATCTAGCAGGAATTGAATATATTGGAGGGCCAGTAAGTCGTTTCAACGCCTTTGCATCCTGAATCCTGATTCTTTAGTCTTGATCGTTGATCGCGTGAGTCGTTGATTGTCGATTGTTGATTAAAAAAAAAAAAAAAAAAAGACAATAGCCTGCCTTGGGCTAAGCAGGCAGTATATAATGGAAAATTCAAAATTGACAGATGGGGGAAACCAAGTTTAACAAACACAGCTCACTTTTTTTTTTTTTTTTTTTTTTAAACACAACTCACTTCTATTTTTAGAAGTGCAAAAAAGATAGAAACTTGATAAACCCTAAACCAAAGTGCTTATTAGCTCAGTTGGTGCACGCATAAAGTTTTTATGAACTGTTGAAATGAAGATGTGAGTTTGAATTTCGAATCTATTAGATGGAACAAGATGAACTTCAAATTCCTGAATTACCTAAGGGCCGGTTAAAAAAAAAAAAAAAAAAGAAGAAGATGGGCTGGTCAGTTTCACGATGGTATCTCAAGGCCGTTGCCGACCCTTTTATATTTTTGTTGCCCTTTTCAAACTCATATGTGCCACAACTGAACTTTACCCCCTAAAAGGAAACAAGTGCAGCAGTGTCACACTTTCAGTTTCGAAAGGGCAAAAACAAAAAAGAAAAGTGCAGGCAACAAAATTGGGTGCAGAGTTTGAAAGAAGTGCGATATCGGTAAAAAATAAAAAATGGCTTTGGCCCGCATGCGATTTTGTTGCCCTTTTCAAACTCGGCACACGAGTTCGTTGCCTTTTTCAAAAACTCAGCGCGCGTGGAAAAAAAATGCTTTTGTTGCCCTTTCAAACTCGGCGCGCGCACGAGTTTGTCGCCCACGTGTGATTTTGTTGCCCTTTTCAAACTCGGCACACGAGTTCGTTGCCTTTTTCAAAAACTCAGCGCGCGTGGAAAAAAAATGCTTTTGTTGCCCTTTCAAACTCGGCGCGCGCACGAGTTTGTCGCCCACGTGTGATTTTGTTGCCCTTTTCAAACTCATCTGTGCCACAACCGAACTTACCCGTATATATATAATAATAATAATAAAAAGAAACTTGCTAAAACCTATGAAAACATTGAAAAGTGTTATGCAGCACAGAAGCTTATGAGTGGAGCGGCAGGATATTGGAATCATCATCACTGTTGTCATCATTGTCTCTCTCACTCTTTTTTTTTTTTTGTTTTTCTACCTCTCTATAACCTTCTTACGGCGAAAGGAGTGTGTCACGTGACGCTGTCCTGCGAGACACGGAAAACTGGTTGCACCCAATGCCGGTGGCGGAGCAGACAAAGTGCCTGGGCCCGGCTGTTGTGTTTGTGTGCTCTTTTTTTTCGGTTTTCGTCGTTTTGTGTATTCTCCTTTTCTTTGTCGTTTTGCGTGCTCTCTTTTTTCTTTCTCCGTTTTGCATGTTCTCCATGGTAACCAACCCTGGACCCAATCAAAAATCAAGAATCGGGATGCAAAGGATGTCACCGACTGTATAAATATATAGATATGAGATATCTAAAGTGGCACTGCCACACCCACACCTAACGCATCTTCTTGTCTATGGGTGACGAGGGTATCTGGATGATTATGTGTTCCTTTCGGGGCGTTTAAACTTTAAACTTTAATGTTGTTGCCCCTTCTTTTTTTGTCCGTTTTTCAAAGTCTTTCTTTGCACACAAAACTTCATTTGAACTTTTTTGAAGGTGCCGTCTGCTTGATCGATCTCCAATCTAGTGACAAAAACACTGATATCAACAACACAGTGGATCTTTCAAGCATACTGTTTGACTGTTCTGTGTTTGTGTGTTTGTGTGTTTGTGTGTTTGTGTGTTTGTGTGTTTGTGTATTTGTGTGTTTGTGTGTGTGTTTGTGTGTGTGTGTGTGTGTGCCGAAATTTATTTGGGTGTTGGCAGGCAGATGCATCAAAGGCAATTGATCTCTCGCCTGGAGTTCTCTTAGAGCATGACCATGATGTAAGTATTGTTCTCCTAAATTTCACTCCCCTCTGTTAAAATGACGGTCGTGAGGTAACAAAAAGTAAGTCTTATCTGTAATTGGATTGGAGTGAGTTTTTCTGTTCATTCTTCTAACAAGAGAGAAGAAAGAAAATTACAAAATTACATCACATTATCACATACATTCTCACACCCGTCAGTCCGGTTCTTTTCTCTCCAGCAAGCCATAACATTACATCATAATATCATATAGACTCTCACGCTTCCTTCCGTTAGACCGAATGTTACATGCACAGATATGCAATGTACGTAATAACCGAGGAACTGCAATGTGATGAAAAGGACTGACTGGACAATACAGTGCGAGTAGAATCTCGACAGACAATGTACATTCTCATACATACAAAAGGTGCTGAATAGCGCAGGGAAGACTTTGATACAAAGACTGACCTGACAGGACTGACCTCATTCACGTAGTTCAGAGTAGCGAAACAGAATGCTAGAGTAGTACTAACTAGCCCAATCAATGTTTGAACTCAGACTAAACATGCATGATATCCATCATGCATGATATCCATCACCAAGTGTGAAGGAGCCTGGCGCTGTACACAGGAAGAAAGCGCCAGGTCCAGACATACACAGACGAAGAGATAAGGAAAGGACGAAAGGAGGGAGAAGGATGGGAATGTCGTTAACACCAAGTCTTGGTCACCAATCCCAAATGGTCCCTCGTTGCCATGTCTGAACTTCCAAAAGTCGAGTCTGGATCAAATGTCACCAAGCTCTGTATCTCTTCTCTCATAGTCTGCAGATGCAGTGAAGTCAGAAGTTGAGAGGGAGAGAAGAGATGGTGGACTGAGAAGAGGAAGAAGAAGAACTCTCTCTCTTTCTCTG